AATTTTGAATCCATCAACTTTAAACATTTTATTCAATTTACACGTTGTCAATTCTTCAAATAATTTTTTATTATTAGCATAATAGTCATTAAATTCTTCAACAGATGAAAAAATTTTTATTTCAGTAATTGGTTTAACAACGTTTATTTTTTGTTGAACATTTCCACTTTCATTTATTTCATCCTCCTTTGTTTCATTTATTTTTAAAATCGGTTTCATTTATCATTAAATAAAAATTAGAATATAAGTGATGAAATATATTTTTTAATTAATATTAAATCAGAAATGGCGGCAGGATTCTTTAAAAAATTATGGGAAGGAATTAAGAAAGCTGCAGGTTGGGTTCATCAAAAGATTATTAAACCTATTGCAAACTTTTTGGCACCAGTAGCGAAAACGGCAGGAACTATCATAGGTGGAGTATTAGGTACTAAAGCGGGTAATCCGGCGATGGGAGCACAAGCAGGTAACGCAATTGGTGGAATAGCTGAAGGAATACTTAATAAAATAGGAGGTAGATAGTGGAAAAATAAATATTATTTTTATCTTAGTATTGGTTGTAGTCTTTGATAAACTTTTTCTCCTTTATTTAATATTTCTCTTATTGGGGCGGCTTTTGGTGTTATTGATTCAGCAACGTCACTAATTGCTTCTTTATTCTTAAATATCCAATTTGCTCCTTTCTTCATTGTTTCCCAAACTTTATGCGCTCCTCTTTTTACTTTATCCCACAGTTTCTTAAAGAATCCTGCAGCCATAGTTGATTATTTCATTAAAATTAAAAATTCATTTTCATCTTTTAATTTTGATTTTTTATTTATTAATAAATGACGACTAACTATTTGGTGCCAAACACTAAACGATTAATGGAAATGTGTTTCATTCATTCGAAAAGATAAATGAAATATTCGCAAGAATGACGGTAGAAGATATTATAGAGAACTTGAAAGTTCATGCTATGACTCTGATGCTCCATATTTTGATGATAAACAAACTCATTTAAGAATTACAAATCCGGCTCATGATGTGAACCAATTAGGTGACACATATATTAAACGCAAAGTTAAAGCAACTCTAGTTTCAAATAAAGCTTTCACATGTGATGCCGCTTTTAAATGCATGCGTTTATTCGTTGGTTACAAATCATCAAATCACAAAGCTTTAAACAATTAGAAGTAGAAACTGAAAGAGGTGATGCCGGTTATCTTCAGATGGATTGCGCCCGTGAATCTTTCGCATTTGCAACATATAAACCAAAATCAAAAAGGAAGTTAAAAAGTTTGTTCATTCGTTATATAATAATGTTCAAAAATATGATAACTCAGTATGTGGTAAATATATTGACCCTTCAGAAGTTTTCAAGAAAGCAAATGAAGAAGTTGATATCACTTTTGATATGATATATTCCGGTAAATGATTTGTTAGCATTTCAGGCGTTCGATGATTATATCCTAAATCATTTGGTGAAATCATTCTTAAATATTATGTTTTCAGGGATACTTTAGTATTTTGTCAGGTTGACCCGTTAAGAGTTGCTGATTTACAAATTACGTTTATTGAAAAGATAACTGATGAAAATTATGAAAAGATTATGAATCATGTTTATATATGATCGCAAATTCCAACAAATCGGACTTCCTGCCAAAAATAATTACAAGCTTAGCCGCCACATCTGCTGACGCAACAGTTGAAGACGTTATTATTTCATGCACAAAGATGGAAGTTTTAGAGGATAAATGTATTACACCAGGATACGGTTTAATTGAAGAATCAGTTAAAGCAATACCACGTTTATTCAGTAAGGAAGATCCATTCATGATTCCAGCTCAACATATTGACGTTCGTTCACTAAATGGAGGTTGCATCACTCCTGAAGGTATCAGCTCAGATTTCTCATACGCTCTTCATAATGTTACAGATGTTGTGTTAACATTTCCGAAGAATGCAATGCAAAGAACAGTTTTAGAAAATCCAATGCTTCGAGGTCTTCAGGTCACTATAGATTCCAGAAACTTCCCCGATCAAGCGATGACCACAGTGGGTGATATATTCTTTACACGTATGCTTCAAGCTTCTGATTTAGATGGAGTGAATGAATGCACAGAAGAATACGAGGACTCATTAACTAGACCACTGAATGATGATAATGGCACGCCATTAGCTAGAACATGGAAAGACCAAACTTCATTCTTATGCACTATTCCAGTTCAACGTGATGGAGCGGGTATATTCTTTGATGGATTAGAAACTTTCAACTCGCAAGTTACAGTACAAGTGAAAGCTTATCCAATCATTCAGGGTGAAAATGACACTTACTGTTCAAAAGTGACAAATCCTCCTCAGGTTTGGTTTACTAGGACTACGTATTGGACATGGACACCGGATGAAGGTTTGAAATATCATCCAACAGGTACACCACCACAGTATAGAAGTTCATATGATGAAATATTGATGAATAGAAATGTTTAAAATTATAAATTTATTTTTGATTAAATGGATTTCAATTCTGAAGAATTAGCGGGAGTATATAATACATACGTAGATGATATGATTAATGAAGCATTGAGTGATAATAGAAATGCTCTATCTAAGGAAAAATTAATGAAAATTCCATATTCTGAATGTTACTTAAATTCAATCACTGCAGCAATTGGTAAACAAAATAAAGGTAAAACATTAACGATATTAAAACAAATTATCATTATTGCTAACACTTCCCCCCATTCACATGTGTTAATTTATATCAACCGTTCGGGTTCACCTTCAGATGATACATTTGAATCTTTAAAGCATTTAATCAAAATTCCAATTATTTATTTATCACAAGAAGAAGCAGAAGATTATTTAAAAAACTTTTTAATGTATAAAGAATTATATAATACAATCAAGAAGCAAGGATTAGAGGATAAAATTATTGATAAACAACGGGATGAATTATTTGAAACACTTTCTATTTCAAATTTTGATAGAGAATTTTTGCATTCACTCATTTTTCTAGATGATGCGGTGAAATCAAAACTAATAACAAATGAGAAATCATATTTTAATCAGTTATTAACTCAATGTCGACACATTCAGTGTTCATTCTTCATGGCTGTTCAATACTTCAAAGCATTAAGCACAAACATTAAATCAAACCTGTCCACCCTTTTCATTTTCAGTGGTTTTAGTCGTCAACAGTTGAACGTTATGCTTTATCAAGTGAATTTACCAATGAGCATTAATGAACTTTACACACAATATCAGCAATTAGGTGAACATGGAAAAATAATAGTTGATTTAAATAAAGGAGGTGTTAAATTTGATTAACTTTTTATAATTATTTTTTATTTTTTATTTATAATTAAACATGACAGAAATAGCAAATCTTCTACAGGTTCCATTAAAACAAGGGACAAACAAAAAGGGTGCATATAATAGAACTATGAAAGTTCCAGACGGAATGAAGGAATTAGTCCACATTGTTGCTGGTCTTCAAAAAGATGTTAAACAAATGAGAAATGTTTTAACATTACCAGAAGCTCAAGCATATGCCAAACGTCATGGTCCAAATTGGGAAGCACACGAAGCAGACATTACGGGTCCAAATGGAAAACCTAGTTAGTATACATATCTTGTGTACGGAGGCACTGCGAACCTCCTTACCCATGATATGTGAATTTGACACTTTACAAAACCGTTAACGTATATTTTACAACACAAACACAAACACCAACTTAACCTTAAATATTTATAAAGCCGCCAACCACTTCACCTCACTAACGTTTTCACAAACGACTTCACTACTGTAAAAATAAACGTTCTCATTTACAAAAGTATTGCAACTCTTCCCATTGCTGTGCTTCACACAATAGTTCATATTCTTCAGTATCGCTGCTGTCGCTCCAATCGTCAGAGTCAAAGTCACTGTCAAAATAAATGTTAGTAAGTTTTGACAAAGCTAATGAAACACGCTTACCGTTTGTATCGTATGCTTGTATAAACTTTCCATTCTTCATTCCTTCGTAAACGCTCAAACTAACTTTACCCTTTCTCCCTCGTATCTGATAGAATGTATTTTCACGAGGAACGAAGAACAAATTCTTGAACTCATGACCGTTGTAGTTTGTTATCTCAATAGTTTTCGTCATTTATATAAAAATAAAATATAAAAATAAACTTAAAATTAATGATATCACCACCCTCACACGTATGAAAACATAGCACAAAAATAAATTTAGGTGAAGTGGTGAGATCTCACCTCTTTTTTCACCTGTTTTTTCACCCACTTGAATTCATTGCTTTATAACTCTCTTCCTTGGTTTCTTTTTAGTTGCTTTCTTCACGTCTGTCTCCAGCTTAACTGTCTTTCTTCTTCGTCCGTAATGATACCAGTTACTTCCACCAGTCAATGGGTCAAATGGTCTTTCGTAAGGGTTTCCATACATTCCATAGGGACCATACGGAAGAACTACTGGTGGAGAAGAAACATTTTCTTTAGTTCCATCGACTCTATTTAAATGCATTGTTTCACCTTTCATCTGGTCATTAAAGTCTTTTGCGTGTTTTGCAAACTCATCGTCCTTTCCTAAAGCATTTTCTGACTCAGTCGCAACCAAATTGGATGCTTTATTTATGAGCCCTATTTTATTTAATCTTAACTTCTTTGCAACCCAGCCTCCAATCTTTCCTTTATTTGCATCTAATGTCTTCGAAACTCTTCCTCCACTCATTTTATTTACTGCGTCATAAGCCCCAAGTGCTTTTGCTCCAAATGCTAATGCTTTTGTTCCCATTGCGCCTAAAGCTGCCCAAGCTACCATTTACACCATATTAAAATCATCTCTCTTCAATATTATCTCATAAAAGTTCTCTTTACTGGAGAAAGTCAATGAAACATAAACATTCTCATTCATAAACTTATTTCTTATATCATCTATACGCTTCAAAATGTCTGAACAATTGCTAACATCTTCTACAACAGTTATTTCATCATGAATGACCTTTAAAAACAAGCTCATTTAATATGCTATTAAAATCATTTCAATAATGAGTCCATCCTTTCCATCTTTAGGTAGCACAACATCTTTCATTGAAGAAGGTTCGACAAGTCTTATATTAAACTTACTGACAAAGTTTGTTATACTATAATGCTTCGGCGGCGAATACATATAGTTTGAAAGACATAATATAGATTCTTCAGCAAATTCACTTATACTGGATTTTATAACAATGTTCTCACGAGACCAAATACCACCAATTGACAATCTTGTAAGCAATCCTGCTGAACCTTCAACTGTAAACGTCGATGGTAACATTCCACGAAGGTCATCTATTGACATCGTTGAGTCACTGAATTTAAATATTTTCTTAAAGCAATCGTCATTATCTAACCATGCAATAGCTTTGAAGTTTTCATTCGAATATACATCTGCTTCATTAAATGTAAAACCTGACTTCTTTGCAGAGACGACTTTAAAATCTATTGAGTTTGTTTCAAAATTATATGCTATGGTAACTTCTGAAGGTAATGGATGTCCTTCCGCAGTCAGTTGTTCTCTCACTACCGTTTGAAGCTTTGTGTTAAAAACTTTCATGTCATCTCCTGTGTCTAGGTTCACATACACAGCAATAGGAAAACTATCTTGCTTCTTTGTCTCATCATTATACTCAAAACATTAAAGTTCTTCAATAATATTGTTCTTCCTGCTGGAATACTTCTAACTTGTCTTATTTCAATAGCTTTCTCACCTCCTACATACTCTACCCAGTGTCTTGGATATTCATAAGTATACTGACTTTCTTGAATTTTGGTTGGTTTCATCATAACGTGTTCATAGTATATCTTTATACTCTTGTCAGTTAGACTCGGTGCTATGTTCTGAATATTTCTGACTTGCATTTTTAATGGAGATAAAATGAAGCATTTAATACATGACGTAGATGAAGACATGAATGAAACTACAGACAAACTTAACTCTTCTCTCATTCTTCCTTTCAGTAAGGACTATGAGTTCTGTTCAAATGGTGTGTATTTCTATTGTGGAAAGATGGGTTCAGGTAAGACATTTAACCTCATTCGTCATATACTCATAACAGAGCGTTTAGGAAAGACTCTTACTATGACCAAATCATTATATCAGCAACTTCAGACTCTATGGACTCAACAGCGAAAACATTTATGTCAAAAGTTCAAGCCTCTGTCGTTAAAGTTCCAGACAGTGAACTCATTGAATTTCTTCAACGTTACATTCGACGTAAGAGGAAATATTATGCCATCGTTGAATTTATACAGTCAGGAATGCAAAAGACTTCAGAAGAGATGGAAAGAATTATTGACAAACACCACTTACGTCAGTACTCAGGAGTTTACGATATGAAACGACTTACAAACTACATTCTATCAAAACTTTCAAAATACCCCTTCAAAAAGTATCCTTCAAACACTCTGCTCGTTTGCGACGACTTCGCCGGAAAAGGTTTAGTGTCAAAGCCTGACTCACCATTAGCTAACATCATTACTAAAGTCAGACATTACCACTTAACTGTAGCAATACTTATGCAAACATGGAGGTTTTTAGCTTTAAACATAAAACGTCTCATAACTGACTTCGTTATCTTTCAAGGTTTCTCACGTTATGATATTGAACTCATTTGGAAACAGTCAGGTATAACATTACCTTTTGAAGAAATTTGGGAAGCATATAAGTCTCTCATCTCTCCTCGTTCATACCTTGAGATTCATATCATGACTAATACCATTAAAGTCAAAAATATTCCATGGGAACGACCAACATTGTTTTAAAGTTTAACCTTCAATTGACTGATGGTAAACAAATTCCATGCATCTCTGTCGCCATTTCTGTTAATATTTTTGCTGTCATTCATATCATCCACTTCCCCATCCGTTAACTTTTGAGGATATGCGTTAGAATAGCTGTTCTTAAATGAAGGCTTTTCACCTTTTAGCGCATAAACTCTATAACTTTCTGCATACTTTATGTTTGAACCTCCTGAGCCATCATTGACATAAATTTTTATAGGCTTCCACCCTTTGTTCATGTTCCTGCTTCTTCCCTTAGCTCTTTTGTTCAGTAGTTCTACATCTTTATACACAGCACCTGTCTCAGTGAATTCAACAATATTTTCATTCGTTAGCTTTACATTCAAACCCTTGTCGAGTATATTGTTCATTTCATACATATAAAAGGTTTTTATTCTATATGAAATGAGAAGCAAATCCATCTTAGCTGGTGCCGTTAATGTTCCAATTGAACCAACATCAAATGTTGACTCACGAACGACAAACAATATTGTCATAAAGAACTATAGTTCAGAGTGTTTGAAAGAAAAAGAACCAGAACTGAAATCCGTGAATTTAAACTCAGCTTCAAACGCTAACGCTACATCAGATGTTAAGTTAGAGTATCCACCACTGGACCAAATTCTTTCAAGAGAAGCCAACGACAACCCTTACACAAATGTTCAAACAAATCCTTCAGATAACGTAGACCATTACCTTCTTCAGTTATACCAAACAATTTTACTCAAAGACGATAAGAAGCTTTTGACAAATCTTATAAGTAAGAACCAAATAATTCTAACAAAGGAGGACCTTGAAAATGTTATATCACGAATAACAGGGAAACAATGTGTCATTGACTATCTCGACCCTGAAATCGAATGCTGTGGTCAAACGCCACCATTCATGAAAATAGGTAACATCCGCATCATTGAAACACCAGGAACTACAGGAGTTGAGTTTAAGTATAAATATTCGAATGTATACAAAACTTTCAACAGAATATAAACTTTGCTTGAAATATGTTTTAGTAAATTAAAGCAATTTGTAATATCTATCCAAAACTTCTTCAACAGTATCGAACTCATCTTCATAATGCAAACCTAATCTTATTGACTTGGTGCAGTTTCACTAACACAATATAGCGCTTTGCGCTCGGCGCCTTTGACGCCTTTTTCTGTTCTCTTGACTGACATAACTAACTCATTTGTTTCATCAAACAGCAACAACCAAAGTTCATGACCTAATACATAACATTCATACTTTATATTTTTAGCTCTGAGTTCTCTTGTAAGCTGTTGCATTTAATATTTTCTAAAAAGTCTACTTCAACAGTCATTCGCACTGGTGCCTTCAGTTCTACAGGCTCTCCTTGAAAGTCAACTAGTCTGAATTGCATGTCTTTCAAATTATGAGGACTAATGCGAACCCATTTACCTAAATGAGTTGCTATGACAGGAACGTTTGGAATGAACATTGAATTTACTTCATAACAGAAAGACTTATATTCTACTGAACCTTTACTATTAACTCCTGAAATACCTGTGACATTAGCTATTTTTGACTCAATGTATAAACAATTGCCATAACATACGTATGGAACAGATTTCATCTCAATCGTTTTGTCAAAACTTTTCAAAGGAAATGTCATATGGTATGCTCCCAGAAGCAATTGAACTCTATGACTCATTCGTGTTATCTTAAACTCCTTCGCATAACTGAACTTCAAAACTCCTGCAATAAGTTTAACATTCATTAAGTTTTCTTCGTTCTCCTTGTTTATTGTAGTATTTATGAGCGCATTTAACACTCCAGCTAATGTTTCCATCTTATATTCTACATTATTGTGAAATCTTATTTCATGCTTCTTTCCATCTATTTCAAACTCCATGAAATCTGTTTCATCTGTTATGACAAAAGTTGCGATAGTATTGAAGTCAACAACTCTGAAAGCAAGCGCTTCATTCTGAAGACCTAAGTTTGTTTGTAGCTTTACTGTTCCGTATTCGTTTGGGTCTGTACTTTGCAAATAGAACAACATTTTATTCTCATTAAAATATGACTATTGCTGCATATGCGTATGAAACAAATGAAGCAAGAAGAGCACATGAACTAGTAAACGAAAACTCAACTTTAACCATTGAAGGCAATGATTTAGTCATTGACGATGGAAAAACTAAAAAAGTCATTGATTTCGATACTTTTAACACTTATGACCCATTCATTACAATAAGCAAAGTTCCTATCATAAATGATGGAACGGTGCAATATATAAATTCTACAGTAGATGCCTCATTAGTGAAAGTACTGAATGTTCTCATTGAATTGTTAAAGAGCTTTCGATTTGACGACAACATTAAATGCCTAAAGAATTTAGTCATGAATGAGAAACAAATTCTCGGCGTTGCTGGTAGCAGTAATGATGTACACCTTATGACATTAGAATATTATAACGAACATAAAGATGAACTGAAAGGAGAGAAGGGTGACACCGGACCACAAGGAATACAAGGACCTCAAGGAATACAAGGACCTCAAGGAATACAAGGACCTCAAGGCGAAAACGGTTTGGATGGAAAGGATGGAAAGGATGGAAAAACTGCTAAATCATGGATATGGGACCTTATAAATACTGGTTTAACAGCTGCTTCATATGGAGTTCTTCAATACCAAATCGGAAAGATATGGGCAGTACTTGGTGAAGAAGCTTTAATGACGTTAAAAATGCTTTGAACTTCATTTCAAATGGTTCGGATACTATTAAAACTTTATCTGGTTGGATGCAAGAAACAAGGAGTCAAATAGATACTGTAAGACGTATAGCAAACAATGCACGTACGGGATTGGATACTTTACGAAAAGCACAAAATACACTAAAGGAAGCAAATGATATTCTTGGCTCAGTATCAGACATGCATGAAGATTGGCTTAAAGGTATTGACAAATCTTTAAAAAATCACAGTCAGTCTATTGCTGACTACAAGAAAAGTATAGATTTTTTACATAGTGCTATGGACGTACATGATGGAAGCATAAGGAACTTACTTAATGCTAACAATAACTTACCAGGAACTATTAAAGCATTTATAAAGTCCTTTGTAAAACCCGGTGCTCTAACATTTAGGTCTTTGAGAGCAAGAGCATTGAAGTCAAGAGATGCAGAAACTCCAACAGAACCTACAGAAGGAACTGAAACAACAGAAACTCCAGAAGAACCACCAAAACCAACAGCTAATGAAATATTGTTCGAATATTTTCCAAGGTACTCTGTTCTCATTGCATACATTCAAGAAATACTTAAGAAAGCAGACTTGACTTTAGGAGATGATGAAAGTTCTGTATATCTTTCGTTCCAGTTTCAAATAGCAGAACTTTTGAGACAGATATGCTTAATGTATGACAACATCTCTGATTTCACAAGATATGATGACGACCATGACCCCGAACATGGTGAAGAAGAAGTTTTACAAACATCCATTAAGACAGGAAAGGTTTTAACTCAAAGTCTCATTATTGACACCAAAGATGGCGAAGTGGACGTTCTTCAAG